GAGTCTGCGATCAACAGAGTTTAAATTGCATTTAAAAAACTTACATTACTTTTATGTGGTGAAGTTGATTGTTCCGGGATTGCAGATTTGTAGGTGAATGCAACTAATTTTACATACCCACTTGTAAAAAATGATACAGAGAACTTAAAAATTTAAGTGGAGGTCGACAAATGAACTACACCGAAAGCATTACAAAATACAAATTTTTTGCAACGCACCACTGACTCATTTCAAGAAGTAAAACAGTATTAAAGCTGTACTAGTATCAAACAAAAGACGGTGAAAATCGAAAGATCCCAAAATTACTCCATTTAAATTATAAAAATTCTATGTACAGGGTGTCTCAAATTCACCGCCCCGATAAAAGTTTATCGGAAAAATATGCTATAAATACAAAAAAATACAGGTACGATCCTGGAAAAAAATATTTCATGACGTCATCAACACAAAAATCGATTATTTTTTTTCGTGTCTCTTCTGAAAATATGTTAGTTTATCATGTTTTCAGAGCCCCCTCAAAAAATTAGCTCAAAAAAAATTTTTTTAGGGGTCGCTCAAGATTTTTTAAAATTTCCAAAACCGTCAAAAATTGAATTTTTTTTTAAATTTTTTTTCTCGTTATTTTATCATTTTCTAGGTTGAAAAAAATATCGATTCTGAAAATTTCAAATCGATATTTTTTATTGAATTTGATGAACAAAAGAATAGAAATAAATCACCCTACTGTACAGTGTTCTCCATAAAAATTAGCATGTTGATTATTGCCATACATATGCCATTTTGTAACAACTAATACTACCTTATCTAATTTGCGTTTTGACAATTTGTTAAATCTCTAACACAATAACACTAAATTTAGTTTTCAAACACAGCTAACCAATCAGATTGCACGAAGCCTGTCAACAAATGGTCATGCCAGTGGCGAGTGCTGCATTAATGTGAACTCACCATTTTTTTTTATTTGCGGAAAACCGCTCTTAAATACAAAAAATATGGAAAATCTCGCTTTGGGAAAGATCAGAATTAGGCATAATTGTAAAAATCGACTGAAAATGACTGTAGGTCCACTTTTATATGTATGTTAAAGCGCTGAATCCGAATCCAGGGCCAGAATTGCTCCATCACTCCCTACTTCTTTTTAAATACAGAAAGTATGGAAAATTCTATATTTCAAAACTAGAGGGAGCCCAATTTCATCTTTTATTCTTCATCTAGTAGATGGGTTTAATGAATAATAATATCTGTATTATGATATATGGCTATTTTCAAGGGTAACGGAGAACGACGAACAAAAAATCAACAAAAAAACGGGTTCGCATAGACATTTTTAAATGTATATATCAACTACACTTCTCTTTTCCTTATGGCATATTACACTTTGCTTTTATATTAATATGTTTTTAAAGCTGATGTAATAAAACATAAACAGTATAAATGGATGTATCGGTAATAAATTTTTACATCATATAGGTACGTTTTGGTACCAAAATGCAGAAATAGGTTATACAATCTATTGTGGCTGAAATTTGTGGTTGTCTTTGTTCCAAATCGATGTATCTATAGAATTGATTTGAACTACCTTCAAAGTAATGTAAATATCTTTGTTTTCTCGGACTTCATGTGATCTATTTGGGCGGCGATGCATGTTTTCAGGTTATGTAACGATTTTAGGTTAAAATGTCTCTTTTTTCGGACCTATTAGATAAGAATCTCCCACAACAGTAACGCATGAATTTAAACAAGCGGAAAAATACTGCTAGACTTATTGGAGTAGAACTGGATGTTTCGCATCGACACTTTCATATAGCTTTTTTTAGTATTTTAAGTATGGACTTAAATTACTTTACAGGAAATAACGCGAGTTTTAACAAATTCCTTGAAAATAATAACACTATAACACTTCCGTTTCATAAGAAAAAATCTAGTAAATAAATTGAATATTATATAACTAATTTGTGTAATATTGAGTAAGCAAACTGTGATACATAATTTATTGGAAGCAGCCTTTTCCGAAATACGTGTGCTTTAAAAAATGGATGGTATGGTACTTTAAAATATTTCGTTCTACCTGTACTGCGGGAGGAAAAAATATTTTCACCGATGTTTTGGACTGTAAAATGCAAAAATTTCAAAAATCTAAGTAGCAGCTCCGATCGAGAGATATTCTGTGATCAAAATTTATGAACACAGTTTTACAAATTGAATTTTGCACAATATACTGTAAGTTAAAAGTGTTTAAATTTATTACCGATGATGCAAAATAGCAATAATTGATGAAAAAAAGGCAAAATACTCAAGATTTTTAGATAATTTTTTAAAAATATTTTAATTGCTCCGAGGGCATTCTAATTTTGGCAAAAAAAACTTTAGAGTATAATAAAACAACACACCAAATTTCATTAAAATCGGTACGATTTTCAATAAATAAAATCGTGTTCGAAATACTTTGTAAGTTATGCAATGTACACGGAATATTGTGACGCCCTGTACATTTAACGCGGATGCAATCTAATTTCGATACACCTTTTAGATTCTGTAACGTAATTAGGCAATAAATCTTTTTTATATTGAAAACCGTAATTTATGTGATTATAAATCTTGTCATTTTTGGCAGTGCTCTTAGCAAATAATCACGACTGGTAGTTAAAGATCAGCGGGTGCTTGTGTGAAAGTATTCCACGGTTCTCACATACTGACCTATAGATAATTGCATACCACATACGTTTAAAAAAAATGATTTTCATAAAAAAAAAGCCGTTTCGCTATGCAGCATTTAAATTCATCGATCTACACGTGATGCAAGCGATTTAATGCAAAAATAACCATATAATGTATTCAATTAAAACGTATACGTCGTATTGTTGCTACCTGGTGCATTCATAATTCATTTATATCTTTATTATCACTGCGTTATATGTATATTANTTATGTAATTCTGAAAGACACTTCTTTTTTAAAAAAAAAGTTAAATTCCGTTTATTGGTTCTCGAGATATAAGCGGTCAAAGTTTATCGGCATTTACCGTTAATTTATAAACAATTTAGCAATAATCTTTAATCCAGGGGCTTCGTTTTTCCGAGTTCTAAGCTGGAGAATATCCCTAAGTTATCGGCAACATAGATAAAACAGCGGAAAAGCTGTCGCTCCTTCGCGCGAAAAGTAATTCAAAACACGAAAAGTGGGGGAGGGGGGTTTTCGCTTCGAGACAGAATTCGGAGGTTCAAAAAGCGAAGATACGAAAAAAATTGCATTATCTCGGTTTCTAATGGACCAATTTCGATCTCTTTTTTTATTCCGCTGTCTCGCGAGCCAAAGAATTCGAATATCGTAATGCCAACTGTCTAATTTACACATATTTTGTTATAAACAAAGTTTATTATTTATGCATTAAATATACTGTATATTTTACCATATGCTATTGCATTTTTTTAATGATAAAATTGAAACCGATTTTAATGAAATTAGGTGTGTTGTTTTATTATACTCTAAAGTTTTTTTACTAAAATTAGAATGCCCTTGGAGCAATTAAAATATTTAAAAAAAATTATCCAAAAAAAAATCATTATTTTGCCTTTTTTTGATCAATTACCGCTATTTTGCAATATCGGTAATAAACTTTAATATTTTTAACTCGCAGTATATTGTACAAAATTCAATTCTAAAACTTTTTTTCCTCTTCAATATTCTTCCAAAATGCATAGGTTCCAAGATATAAGTAAAAAACTCAGATAAAATAGGTATTTTAAAAATTTTTTGCAATTTTGAACCTCGCCCAGATCTAGGGATCTACACTTTTATTATGTGAGTTATACTGAAGGTAATTCAGACAAAATTTGCTTGCCCCCTCTCACATCCACCTCAAAACAGATCCGCCCTGGTCTAACTGGTAAAATTTGATTTTTAAAAGTTAAAAATACGATGGTCCACAGAAAAACTTTTTTTCAAATCAAACAATTTCTTGATGCTCTATCGGTCCCTGAATTTGTGGTACCACTCTTCAAAACACTATGTATAAAACAGTATTCTCAAGTTCTGTTTTCCATAAAAGTTTATACGTAGGCGCCCTATGGATTACGTTATTAACTTTCAAATTAATTAATTTCTAGTGAAACATTTACTTGTACTTAGAGAAAAATTATTAGACTACAGTTACCTTCAAAGACCATGTGAAAGTGTTAAAAAGTAAATACATAATGATCAAGTGCGTATTTTTGCGATATCGGTAGTCGTTACAAGGTGCGACATTTGTTTGAAACTGTAAAAAAAGTAGGTTAGGCTCCACTTTTGTTGTAGACATACACACAAACAATGAAAAATATCTCTTAAATTTAATTTAAAATAATTACTAGGTTGGTTTCATTCAGGTGTACCAATTGTTTTGCTGTTGTGCTAATTTTAAATCTGAATCTGCGTGTACGATTCGAAACTGTAGGAAATGTTTAATACAGTTTTTAAACACGTTTAATTTTCACGGTTTAGCGTCTAATTACGCGCGACAATATTCCAAACTACAGGCCTTACGCAACACACCCAATGGATACGGCATCATACACTGTACCCCTACAAAAATGCCGAATGAAGTGAAATCACCGTAATTCAGAAAACCATACACCGTAACTCAGCCTTAGATAAATAACATAAATGAATTCAATCAATTCGATACATAATTGTTCCATTTAGTGGCTGTGGAAGTCCTAAAAAATATATTAAAAATAATTTTTAATACTGTCGGTTACACTTTTCTCTCTTTTTCAACTTCTAGTTGTTTCACTTCTCCAAGATTTACCCCTACCTCGCCGCCTTCTCCGATCCTGTATAAAATACTGATTAACTTTTATCAATAGCCAGTCCTTCATTGTGCCTTATTGAAATTTAGGAATACGGTGCTTTCCTACTGGTAGGTGCTTGGAGTGTACATAAGACTTCTGTGGTGACCAAGTGATCCATATATACGTGTTACTCGGATTATCTATAGGATTTTTTTGTATTTCAGCCTAGACATGAGGATTCTATTACTTTTGGCCACTTGTACGTGTAAGTATACCCGCATTTTACCGCTTCTTCACCCTTCTAGAACATCTGCAAGCACTTAATGTCAGTCCTTGATAAATCGATTCAAAATTTTCACGCACCGATATTTTTATGAAATTGATATCCTCGTAACCGCTGAGCCATAAAAATATCTTTGCTCTTCACATGTTTCAAATTTTTTTGTACTCGTTTTCATTTATTTTATGTTGTTTTATTAATTTGTTCAATTTTTTTTCAGTGCCTCTGCTACAAGCAGCGGAATACGACGACATCGATATCCTCACAAACTACGATGTCCAATTTGCTACATACACCGACAATGGCGGGAATAATAATGCCCCACAGCCCACTCAGAAACAGGGTTTCAGTCAGGGAAGCAGTTTGAGGAGTATTGCCGAAGGTTCTTCCAGTGCTGCCAACATGGCGGTCAACAATCAGGACGCTGCTGGTCACCAAGCAGCCTATGTGGCCAAAAACACGCTCGCTCAGTCTGCAGCTGCGGTATGAGCTCAAGTATTTCTATAATTACCCCAAAATAGTCATATTTCCCCTTAGCTTCTCTTATAACATCATAAAGCTAGTAGATGCTATATAATAATAACAGGCCTTTCCATCCTCCGCACAAGTCAATACAGTTTTAACTGAATAGGAGAATTTTTCAGTAAATATGTCAATATTCCGTTGTTTCTTAGTTTTTACTTAAACATTAAACTGTTTAGAAAATATGGTAAAGAAAAAAAGCAATACTTTTTGAATTTACTTATAATTTTTTTACTTACAAGCAAAAATTCTTTGTGCTTTTTGTTTTCTTTAGTTTTTCTTTTAAAAAAATTTATTCCAACATATTTTTAACCTTGATACTGTTAACTTGACGAACAAAATAATCCAACATTAAAAATTTTGTCCCAGTTTTTTCTATTATAATAGTTTTTCACGCTTAAAATTTGATCTATTAAACGAGCATCTTCCTTAGAGTACGCATATACAGTGTGTTAACTAGAAAATAGCCCCCTGATTTGTTAATTAGAGCTTTCAAAACCTTGCCTTTTTTAATTTCAAAAAAGTTTATGTGAAAATTTCGATTTCTTTGTTGGAAATATTGCGCGACTCCAATTAAATAATAAAAAAGTTAAGTACGTCGTTCAAAAATATGTCAAACTATATTAAGTGTGGTCCCATAAAAATAGAACTAGCTATAACGAAATAAATTACATAATATAATAATTCAATAACCCAAAACCAATTTAGTTATTGGGGCATTTATTCACGCACGATTTAACACAATCAATTTTTTCATATGAAAGAAAGCAGTTATTCTCGTCAAAAAAATTTTTAGATTGCGTCTAGACTCAATTACCAAAACCACTACCGGTTAGAATTGAGGTAACAATTTTTTTTGTATAAATTCCTTTGTTCTGTCACCACAACAATTTCTAAGAAAATTATATGTGAATATTATTCACATTCAGCATAACTAATTTTTCGCGGTTTTTTACCACACTTTTGAACGGAAGTCTTTGAAAAGACTAAATTTAACTACACTTTCCAGTCCTTTAACCGAAAACTCAGCATTTGAAAACGAGAATCAAGGTTACAAACTTCACTTGAGGTGGACCTGAAAGATGTAGCTTATTTCAGTATTACTTTAAGATATTTGTGGGATGATTTTTGCAGGCGTCAGCCACGGCCCAAGCTGCACTGGCGGGAAAGCAAATTCTGTTACAAGGACTCGAACAGCAATTCAGGGATGCTCAGCAAGGCCTGATGGGCGAAAGACAGCAACTGATGCAGGTATCGATACGAACACTTCCTTGTACTGTCGGAAATTTCGCCATAGTTTCCAATTCGATTCGGTGTTAACAGTTCTTAAGCATGACTAGTTGAAACCCTTCTTTCAAAATTTGCAACCGGATTGAAAATTATTTAAAAAATATAAACCGAAATATTGTGACATCCTATCACAATATTTGCAGTAAACACTTTAATGCGAATCAATATGAAAGCAGCTTCGACGGATTTGTTGCGTAACCCACTCGCAATACGAATTAGCAACGCAGGAAACAGTTCGGCTGGTAAGCTGCCATTTTCTTGTGTACGTCTTAAATACAGCCTAAACGTAATCCATAGTAATTATGTCTAAATTTTTATTAAAAACTTGGTATACCTTTTTTAATTAATTATATTATTTGGCTATTTCAAATTAATTCTGAAAAATTTTCATCTACGGAAGCAAGGGGATCCAAATGCTAGAATTGGGAGGGTAAAAACAATAATTCATATCAATCTAGAGAGCTTGTCAGATCTTTTGACATCGTTTTGTTTCTCTATCGTTTTTTATGTTATATATTAATTTAATACCTAGCAATATTCAAATTTCTCTTTATTTAATTTTTGCAGAAATAAAAACTACTTATCGTTAATAATATTTGGAAACATTTCTTATTATTTGGATACTTGGTATCAATAATATTCATATAATTCAATTTTTTTAATCCTATTAGATGAAGACAAACGATGTTCTTTGATCAAAATCTGAAGCCTAGGTACTGTTCTTTGACTTCATCTGATTTAAGGAAATTTATTTGAATTAGTTTAATATCTTTGAAATAAAGTAATTGTCTACAAACTTCAGTGCAAATATCAACATTTATAAATAAAGACCCTGTATATACTCTTCCATACCAAGCATTTAAAGATATAACTTCACATATATGCTAGTAACATTAATAGGTATTAAAGCTTACATAAAATACAAAACTCTTTGAGAACATGAAAACAATGTAAAAAGTTTTGTCAATGTCAAATGTTGGAAGAGGTTTTAATTTTTACACAGATTGTTTGATTGATGTTATTGTGACAAGATTGTTATTTTTTAGTTAAAAATGGAACCTTTACGTTTTTGAATTTTGATAATTTTTTTGGTCATATCTTTTCTACTTTAGGGACAGGCTCATCAATCTTACCTCACTGTAATGATAAGATAGTGTTTCATCCGAATAAGCTAAAATATGCAGGATCTTGCGTTTAAAAATATAGTTTTCTGTTATATCTGAAATAATGGCAACGTGGCAACAACGTAATTGATCTCATTAGATCGGTCATGCCCTGTTACCCTTGGGTGTCAAATTTAATATTAATCAGACAATCAGTGTAAAAGTATAGGGTGTCTATAATCAAAACTACACATCATTTAGATCCTTTAATGAGAATTAAAAAAATAAATAAATAAAATTTATCATTCAGTACATTTAATTAATGTTCGATATCTCTGAACAATATATTTCTTTTATTTTGAATCATATTTTCTAACAAAAAAATAATTCAAAACATCAATAAATTAAATTGAAAACATTATTAAATATTTTCAAAATAGTTATTTAGATGGGGTTGTTTCAGAAAGGGAACAGTTGTAGATTTTTCTGGCGACATATTATGGAAAGAACAAGTATTTTATTTCTCTTTGCTGTATCTAGATATTTGGTACCCAAGAATATGTCTTCAATTTAGAAAAATTCTTAGTATAATTTGAATTCACTTAATTAATACTTCTAGAGCAAAGTAAAAATACGCTTCGTAATATTTGTAATAAACTACAATTTGCTGTTTTTCATTTCCAATAAATTAATAATTGGAAACATCATTGAATTTAATTCAAAACATTAGTAAAAAATTTTAAAATTGTTTTTAAAAGTCCTTTCAGCCACTTCATCTGACTTGAATTTATCTTCATGCATAATTAAAAGTCGATTCATCCAAAGAGCAAACAAATAATTCAAAATACCAGCAAACTAAATTCGAAACATCAGAAAATTAAATTCAAAACATGAGTAAATTTTTTTAAATTGTTATTTAGAACAAATATTTTTCGAAACAACAAAGAGTCATAGATTTTAGTCACGCCTTGCAATTTTAGAACGATTCTCTCAAAAAACGGTCGACTATTAGCAAAAGACGCTTTATATTTTTCATAGAACCGCCTCATCTAATCGAATTTGTCCCCAGGCACAAAGAGCGGCGGATTCCACCCAGAGAGCAGCCGCCGAGGCCAGACAACACGTAAGCGTGTTGCAGAACACTTTGAACGCAGCTCAAGCGGCGTCAGAGCACGTCACCCAGGCGGCTTCAGAAGCTGCTGGCGAGCTGGCCGCCCAGCAAGCTATGGTGGGCTCAGCCATGGACCGTCTTGAGCAGATAGGCAAGCAACTGGCAGCCGTCAGAATCGACTTCGAAGCCACCAGGACCGCAGCACAGCAAGCCCAAGCCTCAGCGCAAGCGGCGGCGGCGAACGCGGCCGCCGCCGCTGCCGCAGCTGCCGCGGACCTTGCCAAGTCCGCAGGAAAACAACCACCACCACCACCACCACCACCAACTCAACAGCCCGCTAACAATAACGGAAAGGGTCAAGGAGGCAACGGCGGCGGCAACGGCGGCGGCAACGGCGGCGGCAACGGCGGCGGTAATGGTAACGGCAACGGTGGAGGTAAAGGGAAACCGTCTCAGAATGACAACAATAAGAATTTTTATCACCCCCTCTTCTATGGAGAAAACTAAGAGAGAGCATTAACTCAGTTATTGATTTTTTTACTATTTTGTTAAAATAAAATAAATGAAAATATACTGTTTTCTTTTTTGCGTATTCGTACCTAACCGTCGGCGGAAAGCTTCGTAATATTGTAAATAATTGTATCAATAACTGACAAAATGTACCTTTTTTACTATGTAAATTACTCACTGAAGCTGTGACGTCTCGAACAAAATCCAAAAAGTGAAAAAGAAAACAAGTATGTACAGTATGTAAAAAACCTGTTACTAAAATAATTTTACAAACCCTGTCGACTATTTATTCATTATAAATTACTTATTTAAATAAATATTTATAAAACTTTATTTCTAAAGATTATCCATAAGGAATGTTGCTTGTTCCAAGCATCAACCAGTTTCTCTATTCGTGAAATTAAAAAATGTTTACAAACAAAATTGTAAAAAATAAATTTGTAAATATTCAGTTGGTATTATTTATTTCAATATATTCATAAATATTTCATATACAGAGTGTTTTATAAGTCCATGCCATAACTTCTAGGAATTTTGCCTAGGGTCATTTTATACCACAGTCTAAAGCACTATCTCTGAAGATGTTGGAAACAGATCAATGAATCTTGGCTAATTATACAACTAAGGGTACAAAGTAACTAGGTTGGTATGCAGAGAATTTCGATGCCACTGAGAATATGGATAAGTTTAATTCGCAATTATATTTCTAACAAATAAGATAATAAGAAACTTTATACCAATAGTGTTTTGTTTTGGAAAAAAATCCTATGGTATTATTTTAGGTTATTTTCCATTTAATCAACAGTATGGAAAGTTAATTGTTAATTTAAAAATGATGATTCGAAAATTGGTATTTTTTCTAAATAAAGTAGAGGACGTCTTATTCTTAGAGACTCAATGGCGTCGAAATTCTACGAATCATAGCAACTGAGCGTCCCCGTACGTACGTTAGTGGTTAACAGATTCGTATACAAACTCAGTCATTTTTTGCCTACCTCAAACATCTTCAACATCTTTTAATTTTTTTAATTTGGGCACAAACTAGTTTTACAATGAACCGAGAAAACAATGCATTTACTATTTCCGAACGTGTCGATTGGTGTATGTGTATGGTGTAGCCGGAGAAAATGCGTGTTGGAAAATCTTGACGAAGACCCCACAATTAGTACTCGACGACTCGCACAGCAAGTAGGAACCTCATCTCGTACCGTACAGCGCATCTTAAGGCGCCAGCTGTTGCACCCCTTTCATCTGCAACCAGTTCAACAGATTTTACCCCCGGCACTCGCAATGACATCTTGGAGCCCAAATTGACGTTCCTTAAAATCGTTTATTTTTTCCTTAATACCAAGAAGGAGTGTCTGCCTTAGGCCTGGGTCGCCTCGGCAGACCGTCATCCAAAGACTGTATGATTTAACTCCTGCTAAGAGAGATTTAGGATCCAATAATTTCTAAACAGAAAAATAAAAAATAAAATATTATTATATGCATTTCGACTAAAAGCTATGGAGAGGCGTTGTCAATAATTAGTAGCAAGTTCTCATTATTCACTCAAGATAGATTATCAGAATTTTTAATGCAAATTAAAACATTGGTAACAAAGCAGAGAAGGATAAAAGCATCAGGACATCTATTCTAGATTTAGTCGATTTCGTAGATATTGTTTATATTTCAATAATCACATAATTATATTAAACATAATTATACATTATTTAATACTCACAAACGATAAGGACAAAACTTATTGTTACCACGGCGTCTCGTCGATTTTCCAGCATCTTTTTGTTTGCTACCAGCATAGGAACCAAAGTCGGGAAGGACACCAATTGTAGGTCTGGGAATAGCAACAACTGTCTTCGTAACATTGGTCGCAAAGAGCTTGGATGGTGCCCTGGAAACTTTCACTGACATCTTGGGGTTCAAGATGAAGTTCCTCACCATCATCTCTTCTTCCTTAACAGCACGACGCAACGTCTTCCTTAAGACTGGGTCGCCTCGGCAGATCGTCATCCAAAGACTGTAAGCCCTGACTCCAGCTAGGAGAGATTTAGGATCCAATAACCTTTAAATAACACAAATAATATTAAAATTAATAAACAAATAGAAAAATTAAAACGTACCTCAATATTATTATCCAAATTTCAACCGGGAGGAATGGAAGGGTGTTGTCAACAACTGGCAGCAGACGAGACATCTTTCTTCAGTCAGTGTAGACAATATATGTCAAACTGAGAAGCTACTGGCCTTTTTATACCTTATAAGGGACGGTATGTGCAATGAGCGTGTCTTGACGCTCCAGTGATCATCACCAGAGCGCAACCGTAACGCTCCGATGAACTTTGCCCTTAGCAGGTAAATAATTTATCAAACTGGTGAGCAATGTATCTCATAAAAAGTTAATGGATTATTGAACAAAACAAGTGCATTTTAGTTTGGAATCGTAATCACGTGTTCTCTAAAAGTACCTTACACTTTTTTGCGAAAACACTTCGTATAAATTGTTCAAAAAATAATTAGTTACTGTTTCTACATTGGTATTAAAGTTCTTGAAAAAATCGTTACACTTCCAGTTATTAAATTTAACAGATCGTACTGAAGCGTCGGAGAACAGTAGAGAAATAATAAGAATTTTAATATGGTTCATGTTCATAAAAAGGACTAACTAAAAGAATAACTAGGAGAAAATAATTATAAAACTTGATTTGTACCACAAAGAATGTAGACAATAAAATAAAATCAAAACATTCTGTGAAAATGTGTAGTTCATTTTAGGCACGTTAAGTAAAATGCAATGATGTATAAAATATTTATTTATTAATTAATTTATAACATATAATTTTCTGTAACAGGAACAACATTACAATCAAATGAAACATTTTTACCTATTCATGAGATAATATCGTCAGCGATAAAAGTGTTAGGTACGTTATACATTTCTTGCGAAAATAACTATTTAAGAACGTGCGCTTACAATTCCAAACCAGAATACACTTAGGGAAAAATTTTTGTTTCAAAAAATTCAACCTCGATCTTAAATAACAAGACTATATTAAAATAATTTGGTACGTAAACACTTATATTTGGCTTAAAAATATTTATAATCAACTCCGATCATATTTTGTGTGACCGATTATTACCTGCCAAGCGCAAAGATCACTGGAGCGTTACGGTTGCGCTCTGGTGGTGATCACTGGAGCGTCAGGTCACGCTTATTGCACATGCAGTCCCATATAAGGTATAAAAAGGCCAGTAGCACCTCAGTTTGACATACATTGTCTACAGCGACTGAAGAAAGATGTCTCGTCTGCTGCCAATTGTTGACAACACCCTTCCCTTCCTGCCGGTTGAAATTTGGATAATAATATTGAGGTATGTTTAATTTTTTCTGTTTGTTTATTTATTTTAATATTTTTCTTTATTTGCAGGTTATTGGATCCTAAATCTCTCCTAGCTGGAGTCAGGGCTTACAGTCTTTGGATGACGATATGCCGAGGCGACCCAGTCTTAAGGAAGACTCTCCGTCGTGCTGTTAAGGAAGAAGAGATGATGGTGAGGAACTTCATCTTGAACCCCAAGATGTCAGTTCAAGTTTCCAGGCCACTATCTAAGGCCTTTGGGACCAACGTTAGGAAAACAATTGTTGCTGTTGCCAGACCTACAATTGGTGTTCTTCCCAACTTTGGAGACAAACAAAAGGATGCTGGAAAACCATCTAAACGCCGTGGTAACAATAAGTTTTGCCCTTATCGTTTGTGAGTATTGAATAAAGTATAATTATATTTAATATAATTATATGATTATTGAAATAAATCGACTAAATCTAAAACAGATGTCCAGATGTTCTTATCCTTTTTTTAAAGCTAACAATGTTTGAATTTGAATTAATAGTCTAGTAATATACCTTGCGCACATATTGACACTTTTGGCTTGCCACCATTTATTGACAAAGCCTTCCGTTGCTTCCAGTAGACGTTTGAATAAAAACACTGAGATAAGTTTATTTACTTTATTATTAGTTTTCTATTTACTTATTGGACCATACACCTTTCTTAGCAGAAGTCATAGCCTAGAGACTTTGAATGACAGTCTGCCGAGGGAAGAGGCTTCGTCGTGCTGTTAAGGAAAACGACATAACTTATCTTGAGTCCCAAGTTAGTGCGACTTTCCAAGGCACCATCCAAGGCCTTTGTAACCAGCAATAGGTGCTTAGCAGGTAATAATTTATCAATTTAGTGACAAATACACAAAGTGTGTGTTGAATATAAATATTTTTTAAACCAAATTCTTTCAATAAAACCTTGTTATTTAAGATAAGGACCAATTTACTACATTTTACGATTATGTCCACACATTTCCAAGAAAATTGTATTTCATTGTATTGTTTATTTTTATGTTGCAGGTGTTATATTGAGGATTAATTAATTAATTAAATTCTAGTGTTAAGTTCTTTTTAATATCTTTCTGCAGGGAATTTCATTTAAAAATGTATTTTAATCTACATTAATCAGAGGTCATTAGGAATTTTACCTGCTTCCATTTTTACCCACATCAGCTGATATTGAATATTTAAATTAAAAATTTCATTAGTTACTTTTAAATATTTTAAAGGTTTATTTTAATTATGTACCAAACAAGGGAATAAACATGATTTCAAATCAGTTGAGATAAAATAAACTTACGGTAAGTAACAAATTTAATTTACAAGTATTAAGAAATATCGTGATACAAATAGACCAGGGCGGATCCGTTTTGAGGTGGATTTAAGAGGGGACAAGCAAATTTTTGCTGGATTACCTTCAGTACAATCCCTAGATCTGGGCGAGGTCCGGAACATTTTCAAAATTGCAAAAATTTTAAAAAATACCTATTTTATCTGAGTTTTTTACTTATATCTTGGAACCTATGCATTTTAGAAGAATATTGAAGAGGAAAAAAGTTTTAGAATTGAATTTTGCCCAATATACTGTGATTTAAAAATGTTTAAATTTGTTACCGAT